TAGGCTATCGAGCTGAGCACTGGTTAACCTCCCTGCCTTTGTTTGAACACAATAACGTTAAAGAGCTCGTTTTGCAGAAATTCTGACATCGGCATCATTGGTTGTGGGCGCAAAATCATCATGTCTGATACATGACCGAAAAAATCGGGAAAGATGCAAATAAAGTAAACAATAAACGTTCCCTAATGCCAGTGAGGATCAAACCCGGCTCGTTGGCGTGACAAGCAGGCCTTCTACTGCACACTCACGCATGCACTTGCAAGTATGGTTAAATATCTTCTGCTTAAGAATGCAGTGAAAACAACCTTCATGCTTTACAAACACATGGGTACCGTGTACAGGGTTTACTATACAACATGTGATATAGCAGTCAGACAGCGTAGTACAAGCGTACATTGCGGTCGGGCGTCAGAGCATGTGATTATCGAAACGGCTTCATGGTTTAAAGCCTACCAGCCATTATACTAAAGGTCCACATGTTACGGCGCGTATTCCCTTAAGACCACGTAGTTTGTGCACAGCAGGTTCGAAAAAAATTTCACGCGGATATTTTCTAGTGGTTCAAAACATGCTACCCATTACACCGAATGCAGCGATATGCGAAAGCTTCACTGACACAAGACACTTTCAACTTTATCGATTACATTGTAGTAATCCACAATTTAAACTTCTCGAGTAACATGATATAGTTGAAAAGTATGCACTAAATCGTTGAAATACGCAGTAGGGATAGGATATCACTATCGCATTCAGCTATTAAAGGAGAAGCGTAAGGGACACCGATTTTTATCTTTCTTCTCCTCTCTTTTCGCGCAATAAATGTTTCTCTCTGTCTCTCTCTCTCTCTCTCTGTCTCTCTCTTGTTCACGTTGCTAGCAAAAATGCGTGGCTCGTCATAGAGGATATCAGGAAATGGGATAATAATAGGTGATTATGTCAGAAGCAAAAAAGTAGATCGTTTTCAAAGCATGGCATTTGAGTCAAGAATATTGATCATCGAATTCCAAATTGCATGGACTTCTGGACATTGTAAGTGGAATTTGATGATGGCAAACTTACAAAACCAATGACAATCTGATGTAGCGCTTCTTTCAAGGCGTGAGGGAAAGTGGTCATTGGAATGATCTCGAAAGAGAGAGAGATACAACTTTATTACAGCTAGTCTGGTTACTGTTGGCGGAGCTGCTTTTCCAGGACTCAACTGGCTATTGAGGCTCGCCGGGCCTGATCGGGCTCTACAGAAAATGTTCTACCTGCAGGACCGTTTCTACAAATGATATAAAGAAACTATTTACTAGAAGACAGAAATATTCCTCAACGTGGATGCTGCTGTTTACAAAAGTATATATCCATTAGTTCCAATCTTTCTCCAGCCATGCACTCTCACCTCTGTATTTCTCTCTTGTGTATCTGCCACCTAAATTTCTCATCTTTGATGATATTTTTGTGTGTTTATCCATATGTCACTACAGCGCACTTACGACGCGCATGCACTGCTGGCCAGCTGGTATAGCGTAGATGGGACTTGTTGATGCGCACGTGTGAAGTGTCGTGTTTCCGCTTGTGTTTGACATGGCGAGCATGGAGAACAGATCTAAAATTAGGTCACCATAACGTTCTTCTTTTTCTTTTCTTTTTTCAACTAATAGTCTCTTAAAGCGTGACTACAGGTGGCTCACGTAAGCTCACTTGATGTTCCTATTTGCTGATAAAATGCGAGATGCAGCGACAACTGTGTTTCTAATATAGTAGCGGGTGCAATCCCAACTGCACACGGAAGATGGAGCTAATCATTCCACCACTAGATCGGCGTCAATGACCTAACATGAAACGATCTGCTATTATGCATACGCGCCAGCGATTGTGATGGACAGGTATAAGCTGCGTGCGCTTACGCGCGCTCTGTAAGTAGCGCCACGCAGTGACCGTGGGCAGAATGATGATGACTGAAAGCCATAATTTACTTAAATTCAGACACTCATTCGATGCACGCGTCGCGCCACCTCGAGCCGGCAGTCGGCCACCTCTGGTCTTGGCAAGTGGGAGATTGCAGCTGCCTCATCGTGAGTCACGGTGGCACATGCGTTTGCACTGCTTCTTTTTCTCTGTCGACTTTGACGTATTAGTGCGAGCTCTCGGCTTCGTCCGGGGGGGGGGGGGGTGTCAGAAGGCCGGCCCGGCGAGGAGTTGCCGAACTCGTTGCCTTTGAGAATGTCTGATCAGAGAGTGCCTTGTCCGCGGTGCGCGTGTCCATGTTGTCTGCTAACCTTTGTATATTGTAGTTGTGCTTTTCTATCCATCAATATCGTGACACACCGGCCACGCCCAATGACAAGTTTTAGTGTCTGATTTCTCGCCACCTTCGCTGCGAGTGGCACTGGATATTACTCCTTAAGATGCCACACGCATAAACACCCAACAAAGTCGGCTTAGAAGTGCTTTCTATCGTAACTACATTTGTAGAGTCAGGCGTGGAATTCGAGGCTTATGTGCTCAGATTCTAGCGGGGTGGAAAGGTGAATTTTCGTCTACCTCAATTTATTTCAGTTTACTTCATCAGTTCTACACAACAGTTAATGACAACAACTAATGTATCCTGTGCTTTTTTTGGCCTAATTGTCTGTTGGTTATATTTAGTTGTGTTTTAGTTGTGTGTAACGAAGAAACTAGCACCACGAACAAAATTCAATTTCTTTCGTTGATCAAAATGTATGGAGGATCGACTGAATGACGGAGTTTATATTCCCAAAGCAAATCAAACTCTGGAGGACGCGATATAATTGATATAAGAATCTTTGATCAACGCATGTAGCTAATGGTGTGACATTTTGCCAGCCAACCAATTTCTAATGCAGAGGATTACGTAAACAATTGTGCAGAAAACATAGGCCGAGCAGTTTTTGTGTCGACAGTTTGCATCGACACTACTGTTCTATATACGCATCTTCAAGCATTTGTTTCGCTACCTCATTTTACCCTTGCGTGCGCAGTGAAATTCAACGCTCTCCCAGTCTAAAGAATCAAGATAAAGTATACAGACATCATTTTGGGGGGAAACAAGATTTTATTACCTCTGTATTGTCAGCCACATGACAGTATTCCACACACGGCTTACACTTTTCTTAGAATGTAAGCGAAAATGGAGTATATCATCTCTCACTATACAACAAACAGCCGCTGCGAATGACCCTTGATAATATTTGCGTGGGCATTTCTATACAAAGTAAGCATGGAAACAGCTATCGTGTCACTTAACCTACGCGTCTGTAACGACAACTTAAAATCATTTCGATTGGAACTGCTGACATACATCGCAAGTAACAGATAGAACACATAAAAATATGGTGATAGTCTATATACAGTAGATTTCAGGGCAACTTCAAGTTGCTTCAAGTTTAGGTGTGCGTGTAGGAAGACAAGACGGAAGCCTATGCGCTATATCGCGGCCCGACTTTATTCCGCATCATAATATCTGGCTCGCAATTAACTCTGCGAATCCTGGAACATCTGAAATCACGCAAGCATCTTCAATGTGTTTTGCTTGCATTGAGATTAAACAAAGAAAAACTCGAGCACCTTTATACACTTAGGCGAAACAAGGTGGCGACTCGTAGTTTATGAAACGTATACTGGGGTGATAGCGTGTACAACATGCTTTTCGAGACCTGCTTTTCGACTCATGCTGTGTGGCATGAGGCGCCACCTTGAAACACACACAGGTATATTAGGCGTAAACAGAAGTGACTCCCTTAAAGCGGATCTGTACATACTGCACCGGAGCACACCATTCTTACAACACAGCAGTGTCGTTCATGATCGCTTGGGCTGCATGTGCCCGCATGGTTTCTTCCAGGGAACAACGAAAGCGCAACGTATATCATTCATTAAAAACGTTTCTTGAGAATTCCCTTCTATGCCCCGGCGCTGTCAAGTCATGTGAGTTACAGAGAAGTAAACAGGAATGAGCGCAGAAGTTTGATGTACAATTGTCGACACTCCATCTGCCCCGGTCATGCACGGGGAGAAAATATGCAAGGTCGACACTCCTTTCCTTCACTAAACCATTAAGTCATTACATCAGAAACAACTGCTATCCAATATCTCTCGACGTAACGCTACAATACTGTGCCGGCTGTGGACTGGGGTAGCGTTTACTAAGTCATTCAGCCATCGCATTGGCATGGCAGATTCATCCATGTGTGAAAGCTGCAACTGTATAGAGACTATTGAACATCTCTTGTGCCACTGTGCCCAATTTGATGAAGATCGCCGGACTCTCCAGTGTGCCTTGAATAGACTCGATGACGGGCCATATAATGAAGCAAAGCTCTTAGTAGCCTGGTCGCGCAGCACATCAGCACAGAAAGCCACACGAGCCCTCCTGAGATACTTGACAGAAACTTCATTGAGGGACAGCCTGTGAAACTCGGCATTGTGTGTGTGATGTGACATGTGTATGTCCTCTTTCTCTTTTTTACTCCCCTCTCCCCCTTCCCATGTGTAGGGCAGCAAACTGGACGCATAGTCTAGTTAACCTCCCTACCTTTTCTACATTTCTTCTCTCTCTCTCTCTCTCTAAACCATTAAGGATTGCAGTAAAACATGTGACCCTTAGCTTCTGTCGCGACCTTGCGCATGAAGGAGAACTTAGCGCCATTCCTGAGTAAACGTATGGGTGGTTTTCAAAATCAGTGCAAATGACGACAGCACCCCGTGAACGATTAGCTGGAATAGCAACTTTTATATACACTTACGTGACCTCCGTTGCTCTCGGTATGACAGATCGATGCGTCTTAAGAGATGCTTCCAGGGTGCCCAACGTATGCCGCGGTTTCACGTATTCTGTCTCCAGCTCAATGTCTTTCGCATGTTAATCACGGAGCTGGGGCGTAGGCATCGTCGTGCCAGCGGGTCATTGGGATTCGAGTCCACGTCCTTTGAAAGAAGCAACAAGTCTCGTTCGCAGCCTACGAACTGAATCATGCAGTATTCTTCCCTTCACCTTACCTCCCTTTTCATTTTTGTTTTTACTAGCAAACAAATCCCGAAGCCTATTCAAGCGCCAAGGCGTCAAAGCGCTAGATTGCAACACGGTTGTTCACCGCGCATCACGTGAAGGTAAGCCGCTACGGTTGTTGCTACATCATTTTTGAGCGTGTGCGTCCGCCCCCACACGTAGTATGGGCACATAAGTAATGCGTTCTTAATCGCAGGCGAGAAGACCAAGGCTTTGAAACATAGAGATATGAATTAATGCGCCGGTTCTGAACCACGCGACACCATCAGGTTTTCTGAAGAGACTTCCATTTGGTTGTCCCCTAATTATGTTCTCAGAGCAACTTTTTATACCTCCAGTCTCTAGAACTAAATGCTCTTCAGCCAAGCATTAGTTATTTGTAGTTTATCGGCTGCCGTTGACTGCATCAATTTAGTTAACGCTACTCACACTCACGAAGCTACGAAATGAACAACATTATTGCACATTCCAAAGAACGGTGTACTGGACTGCTGGCCATCTTAATACATTCACAGACCATCGCCAGTGTTTGAGTACTCTATCAGGCATACTTCTATTTAGCCGCACAACGGTTTTTATGCAAACGAAAAGACACCAGTGCTGCCAATGGTGTCTTCATCCTTCTAGCTTTCTATTTTGCACCACAGTTTTGAGCCAAGACACCCACGTGAAAAGTCATATTGTGCGAGAAGACAGGTCATTTACACTCAAAGCCGTCAATTTCGCAAATATAATGACGGTTCAATCGATAAACGCCTATGTAATCGCACTCGCCATCGCCATTAGCCTGCTCAGGCCTCCAACGAGCGGACGGACTATCAAAGCCATCATAACTGCGCTATAGTTCCCAAAACGAGTACAGTAGGAAGAGGCCCTGCTCAAAGCCGCCCAAGCGCCTTTATCACTGAAGAGCATTCATACACCCGTAAACAATCTTCAAACTGGAGCCACGGAAAGCATGACTTCAGTCAAACAAAGCTCGCCCAACAACACTATACATCCTTGTCACAAAGAGTGATTTGTCGCCACGGCACAAGGACCCAGTCGCCTTTTGCTTTCACGTTCCGTTTTTAACACGGGCGAAAAACATCAACAAGGGCATGGAAGGCCTCCCCTGCCGGACAACCGATACGGTCATCAGAAGAAGAAGCCCGCCATCTCGCCGGTCTCAGGAAGAGGCGACTCTGCCGACTCCTCTCCGCTCCGGGAGGTCGCGAAGTCAAAGGGCGGCAGCTGGTCGTCCTCGAGTGGAGAAGGCTGCATCGTCGGCGTCGCTTCGTCCTTGACACCGCCGCCGATAGACGAGCCTTCGATCTCGTTCTCACTGCTCTCTCGCGGCTGTGACCGCCAAGTGGGCCTCGACGACTTTTGCTTCTTCGCGTATTTCTGGGCGCCCTGCGACTTGCTCTCGTAGATGCTCTCGTACGGCTTCACGAGTGGCTTGCCGTAGCGGCTGCTGCTGCCCCCTTCGGCGTTCAGTCGGCTCGCGTAGTCCAGCACCTGCAAAATTTGGAAGATTGTTGCACGCTGTCGTCAAAAGTCACAGAACATTCACGGCTTTTTTTTTTTAGCGCTGTCATGTTCACTTTGCCTGCAGTTTATGATTTCCCGTTAGTATAACTTGCCCCGCCCACCGACACAGCGAAAAGCAGTGAGCTGCTTGTTCGAATTCATAGAATAAATCGATTTTCTCTGCGAACTCTAATGATACATTTAAAAACGTGTGTTGTGTTCAAGAGTGTTCCTTCCTTCTCATGTGTGTTGCTGGTGGTGATCGTTTTTTTTTTGTTTTTTTTTTTCAAACTATCGTGGCTCTTGATTCGTCACATAGGACAACGGTTGCCAGACCTGTATTTTTTTTTCTATTCGTTTACAAATATTCCTGCTCACATTCCTATATAGCCTTCCTTGCAAAATATATGGCGGCTGATCACTTTGCTTTCAAATAAAGAGCTGACTCCCTCTCTTTCTCGGCTCTATCTTTCGGTCAGTTTTTCTTTCCCTTATAGGACTGTCGAAGCAAACAAACAATGAAAATGATGCCTGAACTACTGTATAAATATAATTGCTTGCAACATTGAAGCAGTATTTATGTGTGTCTTTTTTCTCGCAAGGGCTTGTACCGACTATATATACCTACAGTCGGAGACTGCGAAAGTGATTCAACCTTCTGGCGTGCACACGTGAAGGTTATTGCTGGAGTTTTATGTGCCAAAACAACAATATGGTGACGAGGCACGTCACAGAGTGGCTCCCCCGGTTAATCGCGACCACCTGGGATAGTTTAACGCGTATAGCTACGTCTTGAACATACTCAAACCATTTAGTTTCATCGATATAAACCCCCGTGGAAAATTCCGTTATCTCGCACCAATTACGGCACCCAAAGGCTTAGCCACATGCTAGCTACCATAATCAACTCATATGAGCAGCAAGACATAAGAATTGACAAATTAAACACTATCGATGTGCAAACACTATTCATGTAGATTTGTATTGTTTTCATAGGTCACTCTGTGTTGCTTTGCATCATTTTTTGTGTTCCTTTATTTTTTATTTCTTTTGTGTAACCTCATTGTGTACCTTTCTTGTGTACAAAAGCGATTATACACACTCTGCGATATACTGTGTTCATGTGTTTATGAAATATTCCTTTTTGTTTGTATACCTTGGCCTCTCATTTACTTTGCCTGTTGCTTGTATTATTACTTGTTTTATTTAATTTTTTTATTATTCTTGTATTTTGCTTTTACCCTGTCATTGCTGACGTAGGATGGACTGTTCTTAGTCAAACTGCAATAACTGCAGCTTTTTTGCCGCCCCCCCCCCCCCCTTTTTCGCCATTGTATTTGTTTTGGTGAAAGTAGAATAAATGAATAAAATGAAAATAATCACACGGCTGCTATTTGAACTTCGCAGTCATCGAAATACTGTACTACCGCGTCCGGGAATCAAACCCGCACCCACTCAGTAGAGCGACGGCTTACGTGTTCAGCTACTATGCCGGGTACGCAATTGAAGGTGACCTACACACAATTGTCTTACATTTCATCTTCTGCAAGGTATTACAGCCTTCAAAATTGTCGCTTTCCTCATTTCTGCGCTTCAATTGGTTGCGACGATGTTCAGGTGCCTCAGATTGCCACGCTAGAGCGCGTTACCAAACACCGAACAAATCGATGGCTATTGGTCCTCGTCGTTAATCGATCACACACCGACAAAATTGGCGATGCCTCCCAAACAACCCTTAATCAGGGCTGTTGTTCATTCAAACAAATTACGGATAGAGTGGCTCTATAGGAGGAGCGACCACGTGGCATTTCACGTCATCGCCGCCGTATACCGCAGTAAGACGAATCGACGTAAACACCGCCGGGAACAATAACGAATCGGGCGCGCTACAAGGCCGACTCGATATCGCAGCTCTCAAAGCTCGCATTAATGATACGTTCGGCTTCATGCGAGCGCCTGCCTGTCAGTGGGGGAAGGCCGGACGACCAGGAAACAGGTGCGGCTGACTGCGTGCGTGAGTCGGGGTGGCGCTAAGTGCTACAAGCCTTGTGTAACGTGCACCACGTGATCAAAGGGTTCCGGTATGGCACACGACTGTGCAGAAGCCGAAAAAAACAAGAGCTTGATTGATAGTGCGCAATTATATCCCGGAACGCGCAAACCAGAAGCGCCATTGTTTAAAATCTCCGGCAACGATATCATTACGACCGTTCAGAGTGATTCGCCGAAGCGACGTTCGGCGCGCTTTCGAGCGTGTTATTATCAATGAGAAAATTGCGCTAAAAGCAGTCGCGGTCGCGGTGTTTACTGCATCCAAGAGAGCACTTATGTGTGTGGAAAGCGCCCGTCATGAATCTTAGTATTATGTAACGGGCTACCAGCTTCCAATATAGCACCGACGCTATCGGCCTACTGTTCGTTTTGTGTGTGGCGTGTCTTACTGCTAGCTTTTAGCTCAACTTCACAGAAGGCGTACGCGCGCAAACATTTGTGCATTTTGTTTACAGCATCCAGCTTTCCCGCTGTGTGTTTTGCGTAAAATATTTGTCTTCATTTTTTTCTAAACAATGAAGAAAATACTCATCTCTGACGATGATGGTGGTGGTGTTTATTGGCGCCGGGATCAAATGTTCGACATGTGGGGTTTTACGTCCCAAACCAACCGTATATATGATTATGAGAGACGTCGTAGAGGAGGGTCCGCGAATTTCGATCACCCAAGGTTCTTTAACGTGCGCCCGAATCACCGGGATAAAATGTGGCCAAACATAGACATGACTACCCACCTCCGTCATACGCAGTTGAAAAAGGCAAATTAGTTCTACACATATGCGTAATCTGGATTATAGTTAATGCGAAAAAATTGGAACTTGTCTGGGGATGCCTAATAGAAAGCGAAAACTCATACAGCTTCCCCTACCTTGGGTATTTACATGAAAGCAAAGGATTACGATAGCCCCGCCGCGGTGGTCTAGTGGCTAAGGTACTCGGCTGCTGACCCGCAGGGCGCGGGTTCGAATCCCGGCTGCGGCGGCTGCATTTCCGATGGAGGCGGAAATGTTGTAGGCCCGTGTGCTCAGATTTGGGTGCACGTTAAAGAACCCCAGGTGGTCAAAATTTTCGGAGCCCTCCACTACGGCGTCTCTCATAATCATATCGTGGTTTTGGGACGTTAAACCCCACAAATCAATCAAAGGATTACGATAGTCGAAGAGGGATACAGTGTACCACTAAAGCGTCTATAGTTGATCGAAACTAGGTTAGGCTTCTCCGTAGGCACTTGCTTACTTCCGGTGAATTCAAAATGTTCTTTTCATGACACCTGCGAAAGAACGTCGAATCTATATCACTATACCAAAATGTTCTTTTCATGATAGCTGTGAAGGAACGTCCAGCTTATATCACTATAAGCACTACAGTTTCAGTTCTTTTAACGCGATAGCGTGAGAAAGCCCACCTCATAGAAACTATGATGTAGTCGTCGGTGTCGTTTGTTGTGAAAAGAAAAACCGTTGGTTTTGAGGGAAAAGTCAAACGAACGTATGTCTTCTACTACCTTTATTTTCGGCACGACCACGTCTTTAGCAAACTTGACACCATGTGCTAGCACTATGTTATATTTCACTTAACTTATTTGGTTATTTCACAACTGCCTACGAATGTTGCAAAAGGAGAATATCTTTCATCGACGAAATTCATATTCTGGCGTCATCTTCAATTTCGTAGTCACAATTCTTCCTCGTTGTAATTCAGTCGTAACACTACCAATACGCCCTCCGTGCGACGCATAAAGAACTCGCCTGAGATCTTTCTCTTGACTGTCCTCATGAACAAATCAGTTCAGTGATCCAATAACTAGCCGCACAAGAGTTGATTGATTTGTGGGGTTTAACGTCCCAAAACCACTATATGATTATGAGAGACGCCGTAGTGGAGGGCTCCGGAAATTTCGACCACCTGGGGTTCTTTAACGTGCGCGCAAATCTGAGCACACGGGCCTACAACATTTCCGCCTCCATCGGAAATGCAGCCGCCGCAGCCGGGAATCGAGCCCGCGACCTGCGGGTCAGCAGCCGAGTACCTTAGCCACTAGACCACCGCGACGGGGCAGCCGCACAAGAGTATACCTTCGGATACACTTCGTGGATACCTCGCTTTTCAACGTCAGTACAGATTTTAAAAAATCTCAGCATATACACGGAGTGAATGATGATGAGTGGGGCGAAGCATCCATCCATCTGTCCGTGTTTCCACTCATTCGTGCGCCCGGATGAAGGGACAGACGGACGGACGGACGGAAAGACAGGCGGACGGACAGACGGACGGATGGATGGATGGAAGAATGAACGGATGGACACACGGACGCACGGACGGACGATTCGCCCCACTCATCATCATTCACTCATGAATGTGCTGTAAAAAACACTAACGCTATCTAGTGTTATATTATTTTTATGGACATAAACACACAACGAACTAGAGGTGGCTACATACTACCACAGAGGAGGGAACGACTCACGGCCTAAAGAGCTTCGCCCCTAGAAGAGAAAGTGACTGCCACAAGACGAAGTCACAAAGGAAAGCGTTTTTAGTTACTTTTGCGCCGAATCTATTAGTAATAATGAGTCCGTGCGCTTCGAGTTGTCAGTGAAGTTTCCATCACGCAGTCAATCGCTAGCTTCCCGGTTAGCACGATTTGCAGAGCAACCGTCCCGGAAAGGCGTTGGTCCCGGGTGCAATCCCGGGATCAGGACGAACTTTGTGGCTACTAAAGGGAGCTTTTCTTTATGAGAAATCCGTATGAATTTGCTTGTTGCTTCGTGCTACGGACGACTGGTTCTCGTTTCTTTTTCTTAACCATCCCGCCACCTTGCAGTATGATAGAGAGTTGGGCCACCTATTTGGGATTCATCGTGAACTTGTTTACAGCGCAACGCGATGTAAACAAGTTGACATTCAACCTAGCGGTATTCCGTCGAGTCGGTTTGCAACACATTGCGCAGCGTCTCACCTCTCCAGTGACATGACGCCCCGCCGCGGTGGTCTAGTGGCTAAAGTACTCGGCTGCTGACCCGCAGGTCGCGGGATCGAATCCCGGCTGCGGCGGCTGCATTTCCGATGGAGGCGGAAATGTTGTAGGCCCGTGTGCTCAGATTTGGGTGCACGTTGAAAAACCCCAGGCGGTCGAAATTTTCGGAGCCCTCCACTACGGCGTCTCTCGTAATCATATCATGGTTTCGGGACGTTAAACCCCACATATCAACCAAATCCAGTGACATGACAGATCTCGCATACCTTCACTTTACCCACGGTGGTGGCGAGCGGGCCACCGAAGTTGAGGCTGCTGCCGTAGTCAAGAGGGTGCCCCACGAAGTCTCCGCCGGGAGACTGCAAGTTCGGCACCTCGACGAAGCTCTCGGTTTGGCGGCTGGGCGCGGGCTCCACGCGGAACCACGCCGGAGGTCGGACACTGCGGAACGCCGAGTACGGGCTCGGCCGCCTCACCGGCGGCGGCGGGGGCGGCAGCGGGACGGCCGCTAACGTGACGAGCGCCAGGCAGGTAGCGAGGGCCACCTGCGGCGGCGAAGACGGCAAAGTCGGCGGTCAAACTTTGTTTTTGCGTGTCCGTGGTGAGATTTTATTTATTTATTTTATTTTGTAATGCCCCTAAAGTCTCCTGAAATGGATATTATACATTGGGAAACGAACACATAAAGCAAATTGATGTTTTGTACGAAACTTGACGCAAGATTGCAGAAAGTAACAAGATTGAGCTAAATACGAAAATGAGACAGGATACAAAAATACTTTGAGCAAGTGCATATTACAGGAGAGAAATAGAAAATTGTGTAAGAAAACATGGATTGCGGAAGCTATAACAAATACAGCATACAAGAAAAAGAAGTAAACAAATTCTTGATTGGGAGTTGCACAAATTTTCGATGGACAAATAAATAATATGACTAAGCTCTTACACTGGCCACGTAAATCGTTGAATGATCACAAAACGAGAAATATACACTAAATGTATGAAGAAACGTTACATTATTTATAATATTAACTCAGAAATAAAGCGGCAGTTTTGCTCGGAAGAGATTTACTCAGAATGGCAATGTGGAATGGCTGGTTATTCCGTGAAACTTTTGTTCCAAGGCTTGCCACTGCACCACAAGGTTCATTCACTGGTGGCGAACATATAAGCTCCCTCCCACCATTCTCTTTCTCCTGTCATACACCTGAGCCCCGCCGCGGTGGTCTATAGTGGCTAAGGTACTCGGATGCTGACCCGCAGGTCGCGGGATCAAATCCCGGCTGCGGCAGCTGCATTTCCGATGGAGGCGGAAATGTTGTAGGCCCTTGTGCTCAGATTTGGGTGCATGTTAAAGAACCCCAGATGGTCTAAATTTCCGGAGCCCTCCACTACGGCGTCTCTCATATTCATATGGCGGTTTTGCGACGTTAGACCCCACATATCAATCAATCATACACCTGACACGCACACACACCTTGCAAAAGCGTAAGAAAAAATTTTTGCGCAGAAGGCTTACATCTAGAAAGGTACATGCGCAATCTACATTCATCGGCAAATGAAGTACGAACAAGCCAGGTCAAAGCAAACGCGTTTTTTCGCATCTGATTTACCTGGAGCATATCTACAATGTCAGCATTCTTTCTAGTTCATCTTTTAAGACAGTTATTGACTGCGATAGCTGTTTTACTCTGTAAATTCTGTTTAGCGTTCTATTTGTCCGTGACAGCGCAAGTTATCATAGCTGACCAGTTCGCGACAATGAAGAAGGAGAGAATTGGAAGGGGGGACAGCGCCAGAAACAATAAGCCGTGTCGCAGAATCAATTTCATGTTTTAATGCGTCTTCAATATGCGCTGAGACATCTACGAACACCCAAAAACGAGTGGTCCTTTCACTCACTTCTAGTCAACTGCAAACGAAAGGCATTTTGTCAATACTACAGTACAACAGCCACGTCAACTTCGTTGCTCTAAAACAAAAAAAAAATGGAAAAGCTAAAACATATCAGGGATCTAATCACTTTCCCACCATCGTTTACCCGACGTCACCAGTCATGCACGACACGTCCAACTTCATTTGTGGTCATATTCTACGCGAATAACCCTCCTCGATCTTTAGTTTCTTGTTTATATCATAATATGTCAGTATATACGGCCTTGTGAGTAAGTGAAATGAAAGCCATGTACGAGTCACGCTTAATTAAACCGCGCACATAATTACCCTGGACGCAAATCGATTTTGCCACGCATATGCTGTAGTCTATCAACATTCCCTGCCTGGCACCCGAAATAGTCAATCTGATCCAGTAACTGTTTATTTACTATTTCCTAATACTGTTTTCTATTAGCCTCTTTCAGTTCGTCTTGCCGTTTATTCATTAGTTCTTCAGCCTTTCCGTCCTTGCTGCGCATATCTCTGTAATTATTGAATATATGTCTACGATGATGACTTTCTTGTTTTGTGCTTTGGCTTTTATGGATCATTTCATCATTCCAGAAAAATGCCATTAGTGCTACACAATCAGGTTATTTTTCTGCGCTAACGCCATTGTCGACCCTGACATAGAGAAATACTGGCACAACCTTCAGAGAAAAAAAAACAAAAAAAGAAAACCGCTGAACAGACTGCCTGAAAGGTCTTTTACAACTCCGGCGCAACAGTGAAATCGTTAGAGCACGCGCTCAAACACAGACAGTTGGCCTGATTCCGGAGGTCAGATTATCAACCTGTACGTCGTTACTGCCGCAAAACAAATATCCCCCGAACGAGGCCAGCTTGTCATCGCAATTAGCGCTCGAGGTGAACTCCGTAAGCGTGACACAAGCTTCATTACGCCAGACAAATAATTAGCGAATCTGCATACAGCAGTTATATATATACGCCAAGGATACTCAGCAGCATGGCGCGTTCCGTAATTCTCGCGCAAGAGAACGCCAAACATGATGAACACGTCTCATACGTCACAAGTTTGTTGAACTTGCGCTGAATATTTATTTCTTTCGTCCTTGCAGCCACTCAGTGAAGCTAAGCCGAGGTATCTTGCTTAGACGTGGATAACTGGGTGGCGCGGAATGAAGAGGGTTTAGACTCAGTCGATACCGACGTTATCACGAAAGCACAGCGCCTCCTGCCCTTCGAGCTACACGCTCGGTCGTCGGGAGCGGCGTTCTTATTAGAGAGTTTTAGTACTGCGGAATGGTGCTACATACGCATCACGCAAGCGCCTTGCGTTACTTGGCGTCGTTTGCCACTAATCGGCTTTTAGTACGCCGTAGTACACGCGTACGTAACGAGCGTGAAGCGTGTTGCGTCATCTGGTAGAACAAAATAGAAGCACGTGTTGTTGACAGCCAATGTGAGCCAATCCAAGTGTTATAGCCAGACTATGGCCATATTTTAAGCCACAGAGCTGGTCGGTGCTTGCCTTCGATGCCGCCATTTTGCAAAACGAAGTCTCGCGCTGTCGCGAACTTGTTCGAGAGCGGCGCGATCAGCTCATACGTACGCACGCACGCATCGCATGCGTGCGTACGTAGCGGCTGCGTACGTAACGCGATACGTGCGCTTTGCGGTCTGCGCATGCACACTACGCAGAACGTGGCGTCCTTACGTACGCAACGCCGCCACGTACGCAGCGTACGCAGTACTAAAACTCTCTATTGAGCATCGCTAGCGCTAATGCGCCACCATGCACTAACGTGTGCCCGCGCTTAGGCGTATAAAAGGAGAAACCAGTGAAAGCTGGTTTACCGTAACCACATACGCGAAGCACGTGCGTCAGACGTGCATAAGAGGAGAAAAATGAATATAAGTTATACTGTCTGGCGGGGGGGTGAGGGAAGACTCGACGCACGTGTAACCTTGAAAACGCTGCTTCCCGTTGCAAGTTCTCCGGAGATAGCACACCAGCTTAACGGCCGCATTCGCAAACGTACGTCAGTACGCAGTCGATTGTGCGAAGATGGGTAGCTATTTGTCCGAGGCGTACACCATCAATCGTCCCGATTGTATGTTCAGGCGTATAACTTCGCTCAAGTCGATCTCCATTCGCTATCGTTTACAACCGCGATCGGACGTATAGGAAAGCACTGATTACACGCTTCCAGAGTGGCCTGTAAGATGAAGAGTCTAGAAGCGAAAGGACCGTGCGAGACTTTCTCAGTGTCTTCGAGGAACTTGTTTGAAATGACACAACAAACACGACCGACGCGTCTGCACGTCAAGTTACTTCATCGGGCTGTTGAGCTTAAGGATGGGGGTGCGGCCTCTGGGGGCGCGTAATAAATATGACGAGAGTCTCTTTAACTCTTGCGAAACGAACGGACCGTGCCTCCTCTGAAGTTGTGCAAGCTGGAAAACCAGCTTAGCTGCAAAAGGAAGAGCCCCTTCAGTTTGGTCGTGCGCGCGTTACACCAGCAACAGCAAAAAGAACGCGACAAACACAATGCACTCTTACTACGCGCTCGGGTAGGGCGACCTCCCACGTTGCTGGATGTCCGCCAAGTTGCAGGCCTATCGTTGAATTTTCTTTTTTTTTCGTTTCTACCTGGTCAAAGTTACTTTGAAGTGGGAGTATTACATGATCACAACCTAGCACCTGCAGCTTCACCACTTCTTTTCATCTTTTATTTTTTTATTAACGTGCTGCGGATCACAATTCCATCTTACTGCTCTGTTCAACTGTTTTTATTACCTAACCGAAGGAGAAGCCCTGGGCCATTAATCATTGCAGTAAACTTACATTAAATGCATTCTTGCGTGCAAGCAGTCGCGGGGATCGTGCTGCATACAGGCAAGCACATGCAGCAATTGTCAGTACCGGCAAGCGGTTAGGCTTTTTTTTTTTTTTGCATATATGCTATGTGGCAGAAGAAAACTAGCAGGACAATTTTTCTCTTAGGTTTTTGCTGATACAACTTATCGTAGTGCGAGTTGGTAAAATCGTCATAAAAAAGTGCTCACAGGGTCGCTTTTTAACTCAAGGGTCACGTGATAAAAAATGAGGCAGAAATAATGTTAGGCCCCCTCAGCTTTTAGACCTATCGGGAAGAGCTACACACATGCAAACGATGACGACTAAGATTAGAAGCATCGCTAAGTAAAGTTTTCTTGTCGCCTCCGCCACCACCGTCGCCTCCACCACCGCCGCTGTCATCGTCGTCGTCGTCGTCGTCGTCGTTGTTGTTGTTGTTGTTGTTGTTGTTGTTGTTGTTGTTGTTGTTGTTGTTGTTGTTGTCGTCGTCGTCGTCGTCGTTTTTGTTGTTGTTGTTGTTGTTGTTGTTGTTGTTGTTGTTGTCGTCGTCGTTGTTGTTGTTGTTGTTGTTGTCGTCGTCGTCGTCGTCGTCGTCGTCGTCGTCGTCGTTGTTGTTGTTGTTGTTGTTGTTGTTGTTGTTGTTGTTGTTGTTGTTGTTGTTGTTGTTGTTGTTGTTGTTGTTGTTGTTGTTGTTGTTGTTGTTGTTGTTGTTGTCGTCGTCGTCGTCGCCGCCGTCACCGTCATACACCAATAAAGAAAACAACCGCTACATCCGCAAAGCGAAGTGAA